TGCAGGGCGTTGTTCGGTCGGCCGCGAAGGCGCGGGGTGACATGGTAAACAGTGCTGGGCGGTAGTAGTAGTTGGCGGAGGCGGAGGAGGAAGAGGAGAAGGAGGAGGATGAGGGGGGGGGAGAAGAGGAGGAGGAGGGGTGGCGGAGGAGAAGGATGAGGAGGAGGGCGGGCGGGAGAGGATGAGGCGGAGGAAACGAGGAAAATAAAGAGGTCAAACAACGACGTGGCTCTTCTTCTTCCCCCCCGGCCGATGCCCCCACCTCCGAAAAACAGATCCGCTGGACCCTGAACGCAAAATTTGGGTTCAGGGGGGTGGGTGAGTCACTCACCCACCCCCCTGAACCCAAATTTTGAGCATTAGTTTATCTTTTGTTTAGGAGGTCTGAGGCTGGATGTAGGAAACGAGCCAATTGTGCCCTGGAGATGGCGGGGGTGGCCATTGTGCCCCCGCCGTGTCCAGGGCGCAATTGGCTCGCCCCGACCTTCAGCCTAAGAATCTATGTTGGCGCGGGGGGCGGGGGGCCCTCCGCTCAGACCGCTGGGCGCCGACATTTTTTCCTCGGAGGGCCCCCCCGCCCCCCTCGTTTTCTTTCCCCCCCCCTCCCAAGAAGGCGACCGCGGTGGACAAGAAGAATAACAAGACGGAGGAGAAGGAGGCGGAGAAGAAGGAGGCGGAGGCGGAGGAGGCGGAGAACACGCTGGCTGATTTTGAGGAGTCCCTGAGGCGCCTCCCCTTCCTTCTCCCTCCTCCTCCTCCTCCGCCCCCCCCTCTTCCTCCTCCCTCCTCTTCCTCTTCCTCCTCCTCCTCCTTCTCCTCCTCCCTTTCCTCCTCCTCCTCCTCTTCCTCCTCCTCCCCCTCCTCCTCCTCCCCCTCCCCGGAGGTTCTGAGCAGCCGCCCGACGCCGCGCCCGCCGCCGACGCGGCCCCGGCCGCCGCCATCCCAAGATTTGTTTTTGTTTGTTCCCGCCGCGGCCCCGGCGGGGCCCTTATGTTTTTAAGATATTCGGGGGGCTGTCGCTGTCACCATCGCCGAAAGGCCGAAAAAGTCGAAGAAGAAACGGGGGCTTGAAACAGAAACAAAAACAAATCTTGGGATGTCTTCGTCTTGTTGCCTCCCCTCGCGGGCGGGCCGGCCGGCCGGCCGGCGTCGGACTACTACTACTACTACTACTACTACTACTACTACTACTACTACTACTACTACTACTACTACTACTACTACTAACTACTACTCTACTACTACTACTACTACTACTACTACTACTACTACTACTACTACTACTACCTACTACTACTACTACTACTACTACTACTACTACTACTACTACTACTACTACTACTACTACTACTCTACTACTACTACTACTACTACTACTACTACTACTACTACTACTACTACTACTACTACTACTACTACTACTACTACTACGGTTACTACTACTACTACTACTACTACTACTACTACTACTACTACTAGGATGAGGATGATGATGATAATGGTGATGATCTTGATGTTGATGATGATGAGGATGCTGATGTTGATGATGATGGTGACGGTTAATAACAATGACGATGATGATGATGGTGATGATGATGATGTCGATGATGCGGGTTATGATGATGATGGTGATGATGACGATGTTGATGATGCTGCTGATGATGATGCTGTTGGTGATTAGGGTTGTTCTTATGATGTTGCTGTTCATGCGAATAACGATGATAGTAGTAGTCGTCTGTAATAATAATAACCCTGAATGCGGGGCGGCGGCGGGCTCAATCTTTCAATTCCGACAAAGCGCGGGGCAGAAGAAGGAAACCGGAACCAGAACCAGAACTAGAACCAGAACCGTGACCAGGAGGTCTTCTTCGAGGCCAAGAGAACACGGAAACCAGAACCGGAACCAAAACCGGAACCGTGACCAGGGTGGTCTTCTTTGAGGCGAAAAGAAAAAGGAAACCAGAACCGGAACCGGAACCAAAACCAGAACCGTTACCTGGAGGGTGCTCTTCAAAGCCCCGAAGAAGAAGGAAACCGGAACCAGAACCGGAACCGGAACCAAAACCAAAACCTGAAAGTCTTTTTCAGGCCTGGAAGAAAAAGGAAACCAGAACCAGAACCAGAACCGGAACCGTCACCAAAAGGGCCTTTTCCAGCCCCGCAAAAAGAAGGAAACCGGAACCAACACCGGAACCGGAACCGGAACCAAAACCGGAACCGGAACCTGAACCGGAACCAAAACCAAAACCAGAACCTCAAACCGGAACCGGAACCAGAACCGGAACCAAAACCAAAACCACCACCAGAACCATACTGAAGGTTTTGCCACATTTCTGAAAAATTCGGCGGCCCCCTCATGCAGATTGGCAGGGTCAGGGTCCAAAAACACAAGGGAGTTCCCACGTTTCTGAAATTCGGCGGCACCCCTCACGCAGATTGGCAGGGTCAGGGGCCAAAAACAATCGGATTCGTCACCTTTCTCAAATTCGGCGGCACAGATCCGTAGGGTCAGGGTGCAAAAACACAAAGGATTTGCCGCATTTCTGAAATTCGGCGGCACCCCTCACGCAGATCCGTAGGGTCAGGGTCGAAAGAAACAATCAGGTCCCAACACTGCTGCACCGCGAAGCCAAAGCCTCATGACTTCGCCCTTCCATGGCCCATTCTCCGAGAGAGGGGGCCCGCGGCAGGGGGCGAAGCCCTTACGGATAAACTTGGGTTGATCGCGCACGATCCAGTACCCCTGGCCCCGGGTTCGACGACCGCGGTGCAGTGCAGGCGCTGTTTGGCCATGGCGAAGACCCCTTCCAGTGTCAAGCCGCTCCTGAAGCCAGGGGCCAAGTGCGCTCCGCCTCCCATGCTCCAGGCCTTGGCCCAGGCTGTGGAGCAGATGGGGTGGCGGTCCCGCGTGGAAGGGGGGAACTGATACTGCCTTTCCCCCCCGCCAGGGGGGATGCTCGCAATATAGTTTTGAATCACACTCGGGGGCGTCGACGGGGGGAGGGCCTGGGCTCGGGGTGGAGTCTGCTGCATCTGCTTCTGCTGTGGGGGCGGAGATGGGCGGGCTTCTCTTCGACTGTAATGGCCATCGGGTCCATGGCACGGGGCCGTTACTTTTCTGCCTTCCCTGTGGGGCGCGGGTGGCTGCCGGCTCTCCCGACGTGGATGCCCCCGGGGAGGCCTGTCCTCTGGCCCCCCTCGAACCCGCGCCCGTCGACGAGCCAGGGACTGGCTTCCTGGCGGCAGGCACCCTTCTGCAGGCACGGTGCTGACTGCCCAGTTCGTCGGATTCCTCGCAGGCGTTGGCGGTGTTGCCGCGCCAGCCTTTCGCTGATTCCCTACCTAGGCAATGCCTAGAAGGGTTCTTACCCTCTTGGCTTAAAGCGCCGGGCAATGCAACCCGCCCAGGGCGGTTCCCCCGGCATCCGCCCCGCGGTTTCCCCAGTTGCGCCCCTGGGTTCACCCAGCTTAGCTTAGCTTAGCTTAGCTTAACTTAGCTTAGATTTGCCTAGCCTAGCCTAGCCTAGCCTAGCTTAGCTTAGCGTAGTTTAGCATATGTCACCTGAGCTTAGCTTAGCTTAGCTTAGCTTCGCTTGGCTTAGCTTGGCTTAGCTTAGCTTAGCTTTAGCCTAGCCTAGCCTAGCTTAGCTTGGCTTAGCTTAGTTTAACATAGTTTAGTTTACCTTTAGCTTAGCGCAGCGCAGCACAGCGTAGCATTAGCACAGCATAACCTAGCATAGCCAGGCATAGTATAGCATAGCATAGCACAGCACAACATATCATAGCTCAGCATGGCATAGCATAGCATAGCATAGCATAGCGCTGCATAGCACAGCATGGCATAGCATGGCATAGCATTGCTTAGCATTGCTTAGCATAGCACAGCGCAGCATAGCACAGCACAGCACAGCACAGCATAGCGCAGCATAGCATACCATAGCGCAGCATAGCATCACATAGCATAACATAGCGCAGCATAGCATAGCGCAGCAGAGCATATCATAGCCTAGCCTAGCCTAGCCTAGCCTAGCATAGCGCAGCATAGCATAGCATAGCATTGCATAGCGCAGCATAGCATAGTATAGCATAACATAGCGCAGCATAGCATGGCATGGCATAGCCTAGCATAACACAGCGCAGCCGAGCGTACCCTAGCATAGCATAGCATAGCATAGCGCAACATAGCGCAACATAGCGAAGTATTGCAAAGAATAGCATAGCGCAGCATAGCATAGCTATTATAGACGTAGATGTAGATGTGAGTCTCGCTGTTGATGTTGATGTAGATGTAGATGCAGGTGTAGATGTAAATGTAGCTGTCGGTGTAGATGTAGTTGTTGCTTTCCTAAATGCTCCAACTCCTAGGTAGGGTCGCACTGAGATAATTTGCTTTCCGCACCTCTTTTAAGTCGTGCTTCCATATCCTGTCCAGGATGTGTTTCGTTCTCGGATGACTCATTGTCCTATGGTTCCGCTCCGCTTCGATCCATACGACGATCCATACGACGTCTTCCCCACACCCATGATTAGGGCATCTCGCCTAGGCAACTCGCCTGGGTCTCCGACTCCGTCCGAGGCCGCGCGTTACAGTCGAGGTTGATCGGAGAGAGCACGCGAGAGGACACAAGACCCTCGCCGAAGGTCACTGCCATAGAAGTGCAGAAAGCATGGGTCGCGAACCGCAGGACACGAGGGTTACTTCCCTATCTATTTTTACAAGTCCGGGGGGGGGACTCCCCCCATCCCCCCCAAAAATCTGGGATAAATTTTTGGCGCGCCGAGCGGATTTCTTGGATCTATGCTAATCCCCCCTCTCTGGCGCGCGGAGCGCGCCAGGGGCGGTGCCGGAGGCGCCGCCGGGGGGGGGGGGCAGCGCGGAACCAAGAGATTCGCGCGGAACGCCGAAAGGCTTATGTTTGTGGCGTTTTTTCTTCTTCGACTCCCGCCCTCCTTTCCCTGCGCCGCCGCCGGTCGTCTCATATTCGTATGTCGCTCGTCGCTCGTCGCTCGTCGCCGTGTCTTCGTCCAGCCCCGTCTGCGCCGGTAAAAAAAAAGAGCCACAGCTGCTGGAGGCCAGGCGCCTTCCCCCCCTCGCCGACAGCGACCTCGTGGCGCGGCGGGGGCGAGCCTGGCCAGGCACCCCCTCTCAAGGACGCGCGGGCTCGGCCGGCTCGCGGCCGAACCGGCTGGGGCCCAGGAGGGAGCACGGGATCCTCTCACGCTCGTCGAAGACGGGCGGCCTGCTCGGGCGGGTGGCAGTCGGGGGGGCCTCCATGGGGTGACCTCCGTCCGCTCGCTGCTCGTCTTGCTCCCTGAGACGAAGCCAGGGCGAAAATGAAATCAGGTGAGGGTAAATCGAGAATCTCTGAGATCCAGCGGCTCTGGAGGATATCTCGGGCACCGCGGCCTTCTCAGAGCGTTCCGAAACGCTCTGAGAGCGTTCTGGAACGCTCTGGAACGAATTTGTCCTCGTCCTAGCACCGTCCGACGAAGGACCCAGACGGAGCCGTTTAGGGACTCTTTTTGGCCCCTGCTGGCTCCTAAAGGGGCCCAAAGGCCTAAGGGGCCTCTGTAGGGCCCTTTTCTCCACCCCCCATGTAGGTCACCCCTCATTACCACACGCCCGACCTGCGGGAGATGTTCTGGCCAGGACTCGGCAGATCCTGGACGCAGGTGGCCTCGATGTCGCTCGCCTGGTTGCCCACTGCCCCGCCGCTGGCCAGCTCCACTCCCGGCAACAACTCGGGCGGCGCGAAGGCTCCGGCCAAGAGCCGGCGTAACGTGCGGCTGCCCATGCGAGGCTTGCGGATGCGCATGTCGAGCCTCCTTTGGGCGTCGCGCAATGGGGGGCGATGATGGGGGGGGACAAAGGTGTAATTACTCTGAGGGCCTTGAAATCCTTCCCTCTGGGGCCCGAAAGGGCCTCTTCGGGCCCTACAGAAACCCTCAAAAGCCCCTTTTCTGCAGCCCTCGCTGCCCCCCGTTTTTACCGCCCCCCCATGGCGCGGCGGCCAACTCCTCGTGTTGGGAAGGTCTTCGAGAGCCACAGGTGCCGAACCCTGGGGAGCTCGGAGCGAATGGGGTCTGCGGATCCTGTTGGGGCCGAGGCCGCCGGGGCCCGGCACGGCCCCGCCGTGGCCCACTCCGCAGGGGCGCCCGCGGGCCACCCTGGGAGTCGAGGGCTGCCTCGGTGCGGGCGCCACGCTGGATGCCTCCGCCCACGCCAACACTGGCCTTGGTCGCTGCTCGCTGACGGGATGGAGACTGTCGCCCGCAAAACTCGGCATCCCTGCGGTGCCTGGAGTGGGGGTGCTGCAGTATTGTGCAGGGCTCCAGATCTGGACGGTAAAACAAATCTTCGCCCAAATGCTGAGCCAAAAACGGCTTGAGCCAACTTTGTGATACGGATTGCAACCTTTTGAGCGGTGTTGGGAGGCCGCTGGGGCCTCTGGAGATCTCAGAAGTATCATGGTGGACTATTGGTCCATCTTTGACACCTCGTGGAGTGCGTCGTGGTCCCTCTCGGGCCGTATTGTGTGGGGACTATGGGGGCTATGGGGAGACGTTAGGGGGGACAGGCTCACGGGGGGGAAACGTCCATCTGGAATTGGCGATACATCGCCGACAGATCAGCGACCAGCCCCTGATGGCGATACTGGACGGTCCTGGCCGGGGCCAGCTCTCGGGCTCCTATCGGCGATCCATGGGCGATTGGGGGTCGATGCATCACCCCCTGAGCCTGTCCCCCCGACCGTTGCCCCTGAGGGAGGACCGAGGGGCGTCATCCTAGGCACCCCGTGCCATCACGAATGAAGGCTCCCCCGGGCAAGAGGCAGCTCCAAGGCGGGCCCCCAAGGATGCCCCCTTGGGAGGCTCTCTGTTGGGCCCTTTTGAACCTCGCACGACTGGCACAAGCACGAGGCCTTCCTTGTTTTTCTTGGCGCCCTCTTTGGCTGTTTCGGGATGTCGCTGGGGCCTCTCTTGGGCAGCCTTCGAGCACCCAGAAAACCAAATGAGATCGTGTTGAGCCGAATGTCCGAAGAAACTAAAGTTAGGTCGGGCATGTCCTCCTACAGGCGTATTTCACAGAAAGAGCAAACTATTCAAACATAGTCAACAACAGTAGAACATCATCCCCTCACTGTTTCCCAACCATCCTGTGATGCTGGGTCCTCGTTTCGAAGAGTCAGCGCCACGCGTTCCTCCTCTCCTCTCCTATCCTTTCCTCTCCTCTCCTTTCCTCTCCTCTCCTCTCCTCTCCTCCTCCTCCCCCCCCTCCCTCCTCCCACCGTCATCATAATTATCATAATCACCATGATCAGCATCGGCATCATCATGATAAGCATCAGCATCCGCATCAACATCATCATCATCATCAGCATCAACATCAACATCACCATCAGCGTCGGCACCATCATCATCATTCTCCTCACCATCATCACCATCCGCATCATCATCATCATCATCATCATCATCATCATCATCATCATCATCATCATCATCATCATCATCATCATCATCATCCTAATCACCATCATCGGTAACACCATCAGCATCGGCATTATCACCAGCACCAGCATCATTATCATAATCATCCGCATCAGCATCAGCATCAGCATCGGCACCATCATCACCACCATCATCGACAGAGAGAGAGAGAGAGAGAGAGAGAGACAGAACGCGTTTCACGGGCGCTTGCATTGGGAAAATGCGGCGGCGCGTCTCGAACCGAGGGGGTGCCCACCCCAAAACACTCGGCGCCGACGGGATCAAAACCACGGGGACTCCCCTCCCCACCAAACCCCCCCCCTCCCGAACCCCTTTCCCCCCCATCCCAAGAGCCCCCCCTCCTCCCCCGGCGCCGGCGCCGGCGCTGGCGGCCGCCAGCAGCGCCGACGGCGGGGACGCAGCGACGATGACCAGAGGCAGCCCAAGGGGGGGGGAGGGGTTCAGAGCCCCCCCCCCGGGCGCCGCGGGGGAGGGGTTCAAACCCCTCCCCCCCCCTGGCGCCGGCGCCGGCGCTGGCGGCGGCCAGCAGCGCCGGCGCTGGCGCCGGCGACGGCGGGGACGCAGCGACGATTACCACCACTACCACCACCACCACCATTACCACCACCACCACCGCCTCAACCCACCACCACCACAGCCACCAACCCACCACACAACCACCACCACCACCACAGCCACCACCACCACCACAACCGCCACCACAACTCACCATCACCACCACCACCACAAAAAAAAACACTACAACCACCACCACCACCACAAACTACCACACCACCACCACCACCGCCACAACCACCACCACTACCAGCAGCACAACCCACCGGCACCACCACAAACCACCACACCACCACCACCACCGCCACCACCGCCACCACCACCACACCACCACCATCCCAACAAACCACCGCCAGCACCACAACCCACCACCACCACCACCACCGCCACAAACCACCACCACACCACCACAACACCAACACAACCGCCACCACCACAAATCACAAGCACCACCACTACCACCACCACAAAAACCCACCACCACTACCACCACCACCACAAAAACCCACCACCACTACCACCGCCACAACCACCACCACTACCAGCAGCACCCACCACCACAAACCACCACACCACCACCACCACCACTGCCACCACCACAAATCACCGCCACCACCACAACCCACCACCACCGCCACAAACCACCACCACACCACCACCAATCACCCCCCACCACCACAACCCACCACAACCCACCACCACCACCCCCACCACCACCACCAACAACAACAACAACAACAACAACAACAACACCACAAACCACCACCACACCACCACCAAACCACCACCACAACCAACCACCACCACAACCACCACCACCACCACCACAAAAAAAACACCACACCACCACCACCACAACCACCACCACCGCCACCACCACCACCACCACAACCCGCCACCACCACCGTCGTCCTCGTCGACGCCCCCCGCCCCCGCCGCCCGCCGCCGCAGGCACCGCCGCCGGCCAAAAAAAGAAATCGTCCTCCCCGCCGCCGCCGCCAGCCGCCGCCGACGCAAGCGCCCGCCCGAGGAGAGGGGAAGCGGGGAGGAAAAAGGGGGGGTCTCGAACCCCCCCCATCCCCATCCAGGGGTGGTGGTGGTCCGGTTTCAACCCCCCCCCTCCTAGCGACCACAAAACGCGCTTTTTCTGAGATATCGGAACCTCGCCCGGCCCCGCCCCCCATCTCGAGATTTCTAGATATCGAGTCTCCGCCCGGCTCCGCCCCCGATATCGAGCCAAGAGGCCCTTAAATTGCTTTCAAGAGGCCACCGAAAGGCCCCCCACGATATCCCAACGAACGTCCAAAAGGCCTGCCCAACCCAGGCACGGTGGCGGGGTGGGCCGAATGCCAATCGATAAGCGGATTCTCAGGTATGGCCAAACAAGCAGCTTGCGCATAATATTTCCTCACACAAAATATGGTTATGTTGGTTGCCACAAGATGCCTGCGGTGCCCGCCGATTCCGTCATTTGTCTTTTGCGATCTTCCACGCATCGAGCGCAAACACATGGGCGTCGCCCCAGACATCCTCACACACGTGCTGATACCACCTCAGGGCGCGGCAATTGTCTGCTGGTTTCCGAAGGCCCCCGCGTTTCGATTCGATTCCTATTGTGTTTCCCCGCGGGGGTTACATCAGAAATTGTTGGTCGTTGCGTAATCCCGTAACGACGCGCTGCGTCCTTGGAGTGACCGGGCAAGATCCCAATGTTCTGCGCTGACAAAGACGCGCCCGCTCGCAATTCTCATTGCCACGTCCGCATCCACTTCGGCTCCGACGACACAGGCGCCACTGACGGTCGCTCGGAAGCGAATTCGCTCGAAAGCTCCAGTCGTCCATGAACACGCGGTTCCGCACCGATCAGCCAGGCATCATGCTCGGTGACCTTGTCGGTGGCTTTTCTCATCGCGCATGAGTCCAAGCAGGCTTTTTACGTGAGCGTAAGTTCGAAGCTTTCCATGGTGACGACGCCAGTGTCCAACCAAGGCGTTCGTGGGACCTCTGGCCACGCGAGAGTGCCGCGCCGTGGGTGAAAAAGAGGCTGCGGTTTACCCTGCCGACAGAGCCATGGACTGAAACCGAGGCGAAGTTCGAAGGGCGACTCAAGGCGGCGGCCACGTGGGTCAACGCACAGCATAACGTCGACGGCACGCGCAGGCAAATACCGCACCACTTGCACGACCTTGTACACGTGGTCAAATGTGGCAGGCTGGAAAAACCAGGGGACTGCTTCCCCACCCCGCCGGTTGCATGACGTGCTGAATCTTCTTCGCTGCGTGCCAAGTAGTGTTGGCACATGCCGCTTACGCTCTATTTGTATTATATGAGCCTGAGCTGAACTGGCGTGCTCCGAAGTTGCGCAGCCTTGCTCTGTGATCCGCCGGCGTTCTCTTCGCGGCCTCGGAACAAAAGGCATGAACTACCGAGTCGACTTTGGCCTTCTGGCCTCGTGACCCGCCGACACCCTGTCCTGAGAACCACACCATTGCTTTACACAGAGAACGAAAAACCGGCGCCCGCGGATGGCCGCGCGCTTCTCTGGTCAGCGCAAGTCGCCCTCGCGGGCAGGCGCAAGCCGAGCGAGAGCCTCCGATCAAATCGCGTACAAGTTATTTGTCAACGTTGCACCTTTTTTCGGTAATCACCCTGTGGGGTCACGCTGATCAAACATGGTGAAAAAAACTGACATGCTGGTGGGGAGTGCGTTACGACAACACGAGTTAGATTGTGCGCTTCTCGATACAAATAACGAATGCCGAACTTTGCGTTAGCGTTAGTCCCTGTCCTCCCTGAAAAGTGTCCTTTTGGTCCCTAGAGGTGCACGAAAGGCGCCCCTTCCTTCACCCCGTATTTACTGCACCTCGATTGCCCAAAGCCCGAGGTCCACAGGAGGCCTCTCGCCCTGGTAGCAAAACGCGCAGGAAAGGCCGAAAGCGTGTAGATACCCGGAGGTGTCGGGAGGTCCCCAGAGCACTCCGGAGGCCTATGGAAGGCCCAGGAGGCCTCGGGGAACCAATCAAAGGCAGCAGCGTGGACTTGGGATTCCCCGCTGCCGTGTCCCGGAGGAGAACCGCGGGCAACGCACGGAGGCCGCTGGCAGGCCCTCCAATAATCCCACCAGCCCTTGAGGGCGTGAGTGGTTTAGCGGATTTCCTCTGCCAACCCCCCTGGTTCCCCTCCGGGGAGGCGTTCATACCATTGTTCCCTACTAATAAACACTCCATCCCCCAGGCGACCGGCAGCCAACCAGAACCAATGCCAACACCCCTCTGGCCATTCCTGTCAAAAACAATACAAAAAACATTTCGGGACGAATTCTTGGGTTTTGCTCGATGGCCCCGCGAGCACTTTGCATTGTTTTTTGACGGGGACAGCACGGGGGCC